CTATTCCTTGGAGTCTGAATCTCCAAGGCTGTGGGGCAGGTGCTGTAGGACCCAGAAATGCTTCCTCCTGAGGAGTCAGAATATAATGTTTACTCCTAAGAAGTCAGACCAGACACAGAGAGTTCCACGCCAAAAACCTCAGGTGGCTAGATGACAGAATAAACTGCTTTTCCAGTTACCTGTGTGTGGCTGCACAACAACCCACTCTAAAACGTAGTGATGTAAGACTACAATCATTTGATTATGCTCAAAACATTGTGGCTTGGGAATTCTGGCAGAACGCGGTGGAGGCGGCTCACCTCTGCTCCATGATGACTGGGGCCACAGGTGGAGTCACAGGGTGGCTGGCATGGCTCACGTGGCTGAGGTGGCTCATCTGGTGCTTTGGTTCTGATTGTGGTCTGGGTCCATCACTTCCAGTCTGTGTCACATCTGCTGGTGCCAGAATGTCAAAGATAACTTCTTCCATCATTTGATCCACATCCCACAACCAGCTGGGGCTGTTGTGCCTCTCTCTTTCTCCCTTTCTCTCTCTCTCTCTCTTTCGCTTCCTTTCTCTATTTCTCTCTCTCGCTGTCATTTCTCCCTCTCTCTTTTTAGAAGTCTCTCTACAAGGCTGGCTTAGGCTTCCTCACAATGTCAGTCTCACTCCTCAGGGATTAGCAGGCGCGTCTTCACAGCAAAATCATTCTTAGCCAACTTTCCTGAGAGATGGCAGCCAGCACATCGCTGAGAAAACTGGGAGACTTTAGGGTTGGCAGTTGCCACTTGGGAGATGTGCAGATGAAACAAGACGTACGGAGAGGGCCTACTGTCTATATGGTGTGTGGTGGCACCTGGGTGAGAGGCAACAGGGCTGACATGCCCAGGAAGCTTCCAATCCCAGACACCTCCTGGCCAGCCCACACCTCTGCCCCCCACTGCCCGGATAAAGCCCAAACATTGACATGCAAGGGCAGGGCATGCCTTCTGCTTTATGCCTGGGAAACCTCCTTCTCTGGGTCCCCAGACAGAACAGACCCTCCACTCTCCTGAGCCGCTATGCCAAGCGCCCTGCTGTGCCACTGAACAAGAAAGCCACCTGCACCACACCATCAGGAGCCACAGCCAGAACACTGCTTCAAGCCCAAGTCAACAAAGAAACTAGCAGATACCGTGTGCTGGGAGAGGAGGTGACCAGGAGCACCTGGAGCTTGTCTCTGTCCCTCAGCCACCACCAAATATCACCGAAGTCTCTCACCGTCTGCCCGGGGTCAGGGAGCTTTCTGAAATACCAGTCTAAACCTGAGTCCCTTCTGCTCACGCTGTAGAGCCCAATATTTAAGAACCCTGCAGTCGCCTTGATCCACATGCACTGCCCATTGCCCCCGACGGTGTCCCTGCTTCTGCTGTTAGGGGCTCCCACCCCCTGCAACGCCTGGCCCCTCCATCTGCACAGGTCCATTCCTGCGGCTTTTCTAGTCCACTCTGCCTTCATCTTTATTCATCTTCCTTGATAGTCCCATGGGCGGCCCCTCCTGTCTGGCCCCAGAGCTCCTGGGTGAGTCCCTCGTCCAGCCTGGGTCACTGCCCTCGCTAAATGCAGTTTTCTCAGTCCACATCACATCTCTCCCGCTGGACTAAGCCTACCCCAGCCGTGAGCCTGGTGCCTGGCCCAACCAGTAGCCACAGAAGACCAGGTGGGCCTAGGAGAAGTGGCCAGGAGCCGACCCCCAAGGAGAGTGCGCCCGTCGCTCCCAGCAGAGCGGCCTGAACATCAAGACCAGAGGCAAACAGAGCGGAGGACAGAGGAAGGACTCAGTGTGAGTCCATGTTGTCTCAACCTGGCATGCTCTGCATCCAGGAACACGCACCCCACAAGTGGGAGGATTGAGCAGAAAGCAGTGACCCCCTGGCCTGGATATCAAAGGTCTTTACAGCCTCCCACGAGCGCCCCACTGATCCCCTTCCACCTTGCGTACATTGAGGAGCCATACTCCTGGCTCCCCACACTCTCCTCCTCCCGCCAACTGGCATCCCTCAGTCTCGACACGCAGAATCCGGCTGACTATGGTTGGGAGGGAGCTTGTGGGAGTGACCCCATGCTCCTTAGTACAAAGTGACTGACTGGATACTGGGAAAGCTGCCAGGGCCAAGTTGGGGGGAAGGAGTCGCCTCTTTGCATTGATCACCTGACATCTATCAGGCACTAAGCCGTGCATTTCAGACTCCAATCCAAGCAATTTTCTCCAATCCAAGCAATTACTCTGAGTTATAACTTATTCTGCTGCTTCCACAGATGAGAAAACACAGCTTGGATGAATTACGTACTTATCACTTGTGTGTAATAACACACAGAACTGGAATTTCCATCCAGCTCTCATTTCTCTGTTGCCATTTTTTGATATTTTTTTAATGCAAACCAGCACTGTTTCTACAGTGTTCCTCAAATGCCCCTCTGACCGCTGACCCCTTGTTTGTCTAAAGAGTACAAAACAAAAGCATCAAAATAGCTCTCCACATGCTAAATGGGTGCAGATCAGGGAAGAAGCTGAGTTCCCAAGACCCTTTCCTGCCATCTGCTGGTCGTCTGCCACTAGCCCCTGCAAATTGGCCAACATGACATGCCACGTGAGTGGATCCCACACCTGCCCTACAGAGTGCGCAAAGCAGACATCAGCGCTGAGTCGAACACCCCTTCCCGGGCCCAGGGCAGCAAGCACTTCTTCCCCATCCAGTGATTCACTGAGCACCCGTGACATGCTTGGTATCAGTTAGCTCATGACCACTGTGTGCAGGAGGGATGATGAGGAACAGACTCAGAGAGATTGAGTGACTGTGCTATGAACTGGAAAATGAGAGACCGAAACTCAGGATCTGACCTGGGCCTCCATCCGTAGTTGGTTGGTTGGTTTGACTTACATTCTGTGTGCCTCAGTTTCCTCTATGTAAAGTGGGGATAACAAGAGTACCTTCTCATAGGACTGCTGCAATGATTCAAAAAGCAAATGAATACTGGGTGCTGAGAACAGGACATGGTGAAAACCATATAAGTGGCCATTTGCCTGCACGACACACGTATACTCACATATTCACACATGCACATTCACATGCATACACTCACATACACTCACACACATTCACACACACGCACATATATACTCACATACACTCACATTCACACATACATTCACACACATGCACTCACATACACACACATGTACACACACATACACTCACACAGTCACATATATACTCACATATACATATACACTCACACACTCACACATACACTCACACATATGTGCGCTCAAAAGCCTACCCACACACATACACATGTGTCCACACACGCACAAGCACATGCTGGCAGGCAGCGGATAGCAGGAAACTGTGCACCACCTAGAGCTGGCTGCCTCCATCTGGTCTCTAGGCCCTCACTTTCCAGCATGTATCCTTGAGTGAACTACACAGGCCACTGAGCCTCACCGTCCTCCTCTGTCAAATGAAGAGAGTGGGACTCCTGTGCCACGGGCCTGCTGGAAGGGCCAGGATGTGTGCACCATGGTGTGGAAGCTCTGAAGTGCTCTGTAAGTTTGGACCCTTCAGTTAGGCTGACACTGCAGGGGTATGTGGCCCGCTAGCATCATCCATCCTTGCCCCAGGTGAGCCAGCAGGGTAGCTGGAACCTGGAGAGGGTGGGAGACTCAGTGTCCACCTCCTGTGAACCAAGGGGCTGGTGGCAGGTTAGTGTGGGCAGTCGCCCATGAAGCACAGCGGAGCCCCAGAGCCCTCCATCCATCACTCAGAAAATATGACCACCTCTTCTCGCCTGCCTAGATCCAAGTGCTCTGTCCCCTTTCCCCCGCCCCATATCTCCACCATCACCCCTCCCACCCCCTACCCCTGGAATCGAGGAGTGGAGTGCTGGTCGCTTCAGTGCAAGGCTCTTCCCTGCTCTCTGGGAGGGGCGTTTCACCATTGGATGAAGCGCCCTTCAGCTTGAGACACCAGGGGATGGAAGCCCACACAATGTCTCTGCCAGGGAAGAGAGGAAGCATCAGAAGCCAGGAAGCAGCCCCATGAGCAGCAGGGAGGAGGGGCCACCCCCAGGTTGCCAGGGACGACAACCCAGCCCACCATCTTTGACTGGGAGGAAGAGAGGATGAAGCCACACTCCAGCACACAGCAGGGCCATCATCAGAGCCCAGAGAGAAACAGGGTGCCCAACAGTGTAATCAGTTAGGGACAAAAAGATGTCTGCTCAGCAGGCCGATGCACTGCCCCTGGAATGTTTCTGTCAGGGACTCCAAGGGTCAGTGCTGTGCTGGTTGCGGGAAGCCATGGGAGCCAGCAAATCCCTGTGAGGAGAGCACCCAGAGACAGCAAGTCTGGAAAGGCAGGTCCGAGATGAAATTCACCCAGGACAAATGGAAGGTCATCACCAACTGCCACAAAAGGGGAGGAGGAGAGCTGAGGCTGAGCAACATTTCCTTGTCAGGGCGAAAGCCCAGGGGTTTAGTCAGCACTGGGTCCAAAGAAATGAGCAATGAGTGTGACCTTCAGCCACCCCTCAGCAAGCAAGACCAAGGCCACACAACAGCAACCAGTGACCCAAGCAAGAGAACAGGGCTGGGGCAGGGCCCATCCATGGCTAAGCACTGAAGCCAGACACACAGCACACACTGGGGTGGGCCCCAGCACGTGGCAGAGAACAGCTGTGAACCAAGGGGCTGGTGGCACATTAGTGTGGGCAGTCGCTGGGGGCACTAAGGGTGGCTGCTCTGGGGAAGCTTAATCAGAAGACCTCTGGGCCTCTGCCTGGAGTTCCAGGGACCAATCCAGGAGGCTTCCTGCTCTCTTGCACCTTGCTGGTCATAGCTGCCTGTGTCATGAAGAGAAGAACCTACCTTGGCTCTTAGTCCCTGGGAAGAAGACTCACTCCAGAGCCAAGGTACCCCCAACAGGGCAGTGCTGTAGTGTAGAGCTCCAGGCCCACTCTTCCTTCTTCTCTTGCCCCTTAGTGTTGATCGGCGTGGGCACTGAGACCTTCCTCCAGGGCCAGTTCAAAAGCCTGGCTTTCTATCTGCTGTGAGTATGTGTGCATGTGCCACTTTTGACCTGTAAGTTCTGCTCAACTCACCCTACATCTGTCTATGCAGAAGGATGGAATGGATGGAGCAGTCCCCTTCCCATGCTAATTCCATCCTATCTCAGGGGTGAAGGGAGTCGAGGGGGGCTTTAGAATAGCTCCTGGTTTGTGCAGACTATCCCATAAATCAATGAATTATCCTTTCTACCCACCCATCCATCCACCAATTCATCCAGCCAGCTGCCCATCTATCCATCTATCTGCCCATCCATTCATCAACCCACCCATCCATCCATTCACCCACCAATCTATTCATCCATCCACCCATCCATTCATCCATCTATCCAGCCATCTACCCATCCATCCAACTACCTATCCATCTATGCTCCCACCTCTTCATCCACCTGCCCATCCATCCATCCATTCCTCCATCCATCCACCCAACCATCTATCCATCTACCCATCCACTCACCTATCCATCTATTCACCCACCCATCTATATATCCATCCACCCATCCATCCATCTACCCATACATGCATACATACATATACACACCCATTTACCCATCCACCCACCCATTTATCCATCCATCTTCCAATTCATCCAGCCAGCCACTCATCTATCCATCCACCTGCCTATCCATCCATCTATGCACCTACACATTTATCAGCCTAGTTTTACAGATGAGAAAATTCAGAAGGAGTAAGCAGGTTAGCCCACATCACCAAGCTCATGAGCAGCAGGATTCAGATTCGAACCCAAGACCCTTTTGTTTCCCAGACAATGTCCTTTCTTCTCCACCACCAGCTACCTCTGTAAATTGTGCCCTGACAGGAAGGTGACCCCTGTGCAATGGTGTCCCAGGGGGTTAGAAGAACCTGGGTCTCTGCCACAGCATCTCTGCAGCCCCATTCTGAGGGGCTTCCAGCAGTTTCTTCCTAATGAGATAGGAAGACTGTGTGTTCTAGCCCCACAAATCCTGAAGAACTTACTGAGCTGAGAAGCAATAGATAACAATTTGCCAGGCTGCCCCACAAATGTCTGGTTCTGCCTACAGGGTCCACCAGGCTGTGACCTCCACTCCCCTCCCTCCTCAGGATCTGCCTCCACCTTCAGGTGGCAGCTGACCTATGTTCTTAGCAGTCTCCACCCTCCCGCCTGAGAGCAGGCCCCTTGCTGTGTTTGGGGGCTCACACCTGCCATCTCCTAGATGCAGGCCACCCTCCAAGCCCATTTCCACACTGTCTTCTAGACACACAAATCTCTCTGACAGCCTTCAAGGGCTCCCACCACCTCTGGTCTGCACCCTGTGCCATCTTTTGGCCTCTGCCTCACTTCTTGCCACTCATGTACAGCCCGGAGCTTCTGACTCTTTCAAACTCACCAGCATGACCTCGCCTCCAGGCTTCACTCATTCCGTTGGGTGCCCAAGTACCTTCCACCCATTTCTACCTGCCCAATGCCTGACACTCCTTCCTGGCATTCCGCCCTGGCCATTGTGCCCTGAGCCTGGAGCCCCTGCTGGCTGGCAGTGACTTCTCCTTGTTCTGAACACCCTCCATGTCTAACTGACCCTGTCCCTGGCCGCTGTGCACCATTGCCCTGGGATCCAGAAGCAGGTGGGCCTTCCTCCTCTCCAGTGAGTACCTAATTCTCTGGTCAGGCCATGGCAGGTGAATGTAGGCTGCCTTCTGCCCAGAAACCTGTTCTGTCTCTGTTTTGAAGGGACCCTATACCCATGTGGTCTCTGGGTGGTCCAGTCCAGCCTGGGGTCCCCTGCCCCTCGCTGTGTCCTGCTCTCTAACATCTGCAGGATCAGCACGCACTGCCTGCCCTGTCTGTCCCTCCCTGCCACTCAGTAGCACCAGACAGGAAGTCTGAATGGGTTCCTTTATTCCCCAAGCCTTGATGTATCCCTTTGTCCCAGGGTGTAGGAAAAGTCAGTGGAAATTGTTTTGCGAAGCACATGTATTGATGGGCCTGCTAGGCACACAAGCTCTGGAGCCTGAGTGCTGAGTTCTGATCTTTCCCCTGCTGCTGATAAGGGGCCGTCGGTGATGGGGCAAACTTCTCTGTGCCTTACTTTCCTCATCTGTAAACTGACAGTAATTGTAGTGTTTATTATAAAATTGTCGCAAGGACTAAATGAGTTGATATTTGTAAGGCCTTTAGAACTATGCCTGGCCCATAGCAATCATTACATAAATGTTAGTGATTACCATTTTAAAACCAAGGGGTAACTTGGGAGGCATAGAGAGTGAGACACTGGGAGGCATAGAGAGTGAGAGGAGTAGAGATCACTAAATGATGTAAATAATCACATGGAGAGAGAAATGATAACAAGACTTGATATAATTACTGTGTGCCAAGCATGGTCCTAAGTGCTTTACAAATATCGTTTAATTCTTAGAACAGTTTTACTGTTGATGCACTATAATAACCCCAGTTTACAGCTGAGGAAACTGAGACACAGAAAGGTCACACCTCTCACCTGTGATCATACAATCTAGAATCACAGAGTGTTTCTAGATTGGTAGAAACACCCATGGCTCTGAGGAAACCCTGGCCCCGAGCCACCTTCTGCACAACACTATCTACTTTCATTCCTTCATTCATTGCAATGCCCATTAATGGAGCCCAGTAAACCCAACCCACTGTGAGCCTGGGCTGTACAGAAGAATTAGACAGGGAACGCCCCCTGGGAGTTCACAGACTGGGGGCTCTGGTCATATGGTACCACGTGGAGAAGTAAGAGGAGGTCACCAGACAGACTGGAGAGGGAAGGGGAAGGCCTTCCAGGAAGAGCTCACTTGTGCAAAAGCCCTGTGGCACCTGATAGCTTCTTGAGTTGTCAAGGGAACATGGAGGATAGGCAGTGAGACCCTCTGCAAGTACATATTCCCATTCCAATGATTCTAATGTGAGTCCAAGAGCAGCCTGGGAGCCATGAATTCTACACATTCTTCAGGAGATGCTGATTGCAGGATCCCTGGATCACACTGGGAGCATGAGTAGCCTTTGAGGCATTCTGTATCAGGAGGAACATGATCAGATTCAGGTGTCGCGCAGCCCAGAGTGACATAGTGGAGGAGCAGGAGACAGGGCTGGGGTAAGTGAGTAAGTGGAGCTGGTGCAGGGGTCCAGGAGGCAGGGCCTAAACCCAGGCAATGCCCATGAGGTCAGAGAATAGAAGCGATTCGGAAGGTATTGAAGGAATGTAATCAACAGCTCCTGGTTACTGTTTGGACAATATGGAAAGGATGAAGGAAAGGGTTAGGAACAGGTCCAGCTTTAAGGCTGGAACACAGGCAGTGGGTGTCCATCCTGGTGACCAGCAGGTAGAAGGATGTGCCTGCCAGTGTCACACAGGCTACCAGGTGAAGGCCATGTCACCTGCTGGCCACGGTGCCCTCCCCACCCATCTCCGAACCCCAGACCCCACCTCTCCCCAACATGGCCCAGTACGGAACAGGCCATGGCCTGGAGATAGCCCCTGGTGAATGTTGTCTGGGGGAATCCAGGTCAGTCCACTGGCTGTAGATGTGATGTCAGGAGGCCACGTGTGAGAAGACAGCCCTCAGGAAAGTGAAGGAGGACAGAGGCGCCAGCCTCCCTCTCACCTGTCTTCACCTGCAGGTTTACAGGAGCCGCTGTCTCCATATGCGAAGGGGCCTACTTTGTGGCTCAGCTGTTGGCCATCTGCTTCCAGTAAGTAGTCTCCAGAAAGACCCTCCACTGTTCACCCCAGCCCCAGACACCACAGATGTCTCCACCCAAGAACCCGCAACCAGGGAATGTTCTGCTCCTGAAGCCACCGTGGACAGGATCCCCCCACCGAAGTACAGCCAGCCTGGCCTGGAGGTGGGCGCAGGCCCATGGGCTCCATTGCCTTCTTTGCCATGGTCCCAACCAAGAGAACCAACCGACACATTCATTCGGGGCCTATCCTTGCTCAGAATCCCCAGAAAAGTCCAGCTCCCCCTCACCAGGAGCAGCCAGTCACTGGGCCCCAGTGTCTGAGCCATCTGCCACAGGATGAGGACCCTTCAGAAGGCCCAGCTGGGAGTGAGCAGACCTGGGTTTGGGAACTGGCTCTGTCTCTTCCTAGGGCCTGGGGGCAAGTCAGGGGCGGTACGTCTCTACACCCCTCCGTGGGGCAGGAGTGCAGACCCTGCAGGATCTCGTGAGGCCCTTGCTGCTTCCCAGCCTACACTCAGTATGTGGAAGCTGTCATCGGTGAGACCAAGGACTGCGGCTCTCAGAACCTAGACACTGGTCTCTGGGTGGTCAGTGAGAGAGTCAGTCTTCAGATCCAGCTGTCCCAGCACCTTGCAAGGCCACTAGCTGCCTCTCAGGCTCACCAGCCCTAAGGCAGAAAGCTTTCCCCCTTTCTGCTGAATTCCATTGCCAAGGTGTGCTTGAAACTTCAGCTGGGGAGAAGGCTGGGGAGGAATGGACCCTGGATGGACTCCACCGCACCCCCCCACCATACACACACAGGAATGGGCACCAGGGGGCACCAGTGAGCCATGGCAGTCCAGCCTGCTGAGCATAAGAAAGCAATGCTTTGGGCCACCTGGACAGCTGAGCACTCTCTCAAAGCTAGAGAGGCAGGATGCGCCTGTGTAGAGCCCCAGCTCTAGGCCAATTCAGAGGATGAAGGCGCTGGGTCTAAAGGCAGGCACTTGCCGCCTGTGAAACCTGGAGGCAGCATCCCTGAAGGAAGCTACTCAACATCAGGCTTCTGCCAGGGCTATGTGTGGTCCCCATGTATACAGTTAGGAAAGAAGCCCTTTTGGGCCGACACTGTCCTGTGCCTAGGCAAGGCTGGGTGAATAAGGCACAGCTGGATTCCAGCCTGCTCACTCACCTGGCCAGGCCTCTTGTGCAGTGCACTACAGGCATAACTGCCCCAGCCAGGTGGCTCCCGACCTGCACACTTTCTCTGCATTGGTGCAGACTTCCCAGTGAGCCCTGAGCCTCCAGCTCTCTTCCTCACTAACTCATGCAGCATCCTGAGAGCATTTAACTTGCTTCCCCCTCGACCAGAAAGACAGGGCTGGGGAGCCTTTCAAAAACGTGTGGACCCTCTCGATAGACTCAGGCAAGTCCACTCATTGTGGAACCCACACCAAGGACTGCTGGGGCCTCCTGTTCAGCCAGGGCCCACTGCAGAGCATGCCCACAGCAGGGCCCGGCCCAGACTCCATGGCATCCAGTCTTGCTGAAGTTTTCCTGGGACACATTCTGCTAACCTGGGCTCCCTCTCACCAGGTGTCAACCAGGATCCCTGGCAGACAGAGTAAGGGAGAAGGCTCACTGGCTAGGCTGCTTCCAGAAGTTCCTGGCCTACCTGCTGCTGTCGGTGGCCTGCTTCCTCCACCCTGTCCTGGTCTGGCACGTGACCATCCCAGGTAAGAACATGGGGGTAGAGATATGCAGCCCCAGCACAGGTGGGCTCCGAGCAGGAGGGGCTGAGCCCCTCAAAGTCTAGCTCCAGTGGTGGCTCCAGGGCCCTTACCTGCCCTACTGCCCTCTCTAACCTAGAGGGTGGGCATGAGGAATCACAGGAGTGCCAGACATCCTCCATGCCGATCAGATGGCAGGAATGTCCCAAGAAGTGCATCCTTCCTTCACAGAGCCGTCCAGAAGTGGAACCGCAAAGGGGACCTCGCCTTTCCTCCCACTGACCGTGTGTGGTCTGCGTTTCCCAAGGGTGTGACATGGCCACTTCCCTGCCCAAACCCTTCCGAATCTCCTCAGTGCCTACCCATTCAGGTCCAAACTCCTCAGCCTGGGTTGAAAGGCACTTCAGGGTGGGATCCCAGAAAATCTTCATACCCTCATCCACTTCCACCTCACCAAGTGCACACCACTGGCCAGCCTGCTTTCTGATCGCAGAATCCAGAATTTCTTGCTCCCACCTCTTCAGTTTCATCCACGACTTCTTCTGCTAGTGTCCTTCTCTCTGCTCCCTGTCTGTGAAAACTGTGCCCCCTCCTCATGAACCCGTCTACAATACAGGGAAGCCAGCCCTCCAGGGAGACCATGTTGAAAAGCGGAACCCCCATCCTTCCTGCCATTTAGCATCCCCGTCCCAGCCTCCAGGTGGACCTCCAAATCTGATGTGGGGTGTGAGGACAAGCCAGGCCAGAGAGCCAGGGCCACAGGGGCCTGTGTGTGGCCACACAGCGCAGGGTTACAGGAGTCCTGCTGCACAACATGCTCTCAAGGGCTCTGGATTTTCTCCGCAACTCATCTAATGTCCTGATCTCTGGCTCTTTTCCAGGCTCCATGCTCATCGTCACCGGCCTGGCCTACTTCCTTCTGAGCAAGCGGAAGAAGAGGAAAGCTGTCCCCGAGGTGCTGGCCTCCCCAGAGCAGTACACAGACCCCTCCAGCAGCGCCGTGAGCACTACCGGCTCTGGGGACACAGAGCAAACCTACACCTTCCATGGAGCCCTCAAGGAGGGGCCCAGCTCCCTCTTCATCCACATGAAGAGTATCCTGAAGGGGACCAAGAAGCCCAGTGCTCTCCAGCCCCCCAACACACTGATGGAGCTGAGCCTGGAGCCAGCCGACTCCCTGGCCAAAAAGAAGCAGGTGCATTTTGAAGACAACGTGGTCCGCATCGTCCCCTCCCTCGCCGAAGGTCTGGATGATGGGGACAGTGAGCCAGAAGAGGAGACCACCTCTGACACGACACCCATCATTCCCCCTCCCCAGGCCCCAGTCTTCCTGTCATCTCTTACAGGCACTGGCCTGTTCTAAGTGCCTATTCTTGCTCCAGCCTGGAGGACACTCAGTGAGGGGTCTACCTAGCTCAATGGCCCTCCCTGGAGTTTCAGGGTCTTCTCAGGTCAGCTTTTCAAGGGGTAAACAGACACCCCCACGCTGGCTGGGCCCCTGAGGCCATCAGGAGGTGTGACTGGCCAGCGTTTCTGCAGAGGCCTCGAGGGAGGCACAAACAAGGCTCATGCCACCTCAAGCCAGCACAAGCTCCTTCCTCCTGGCCACAGGTGGGGAAACACATGCTTCCCCAACGAGACCATCATTCCCACTGCGCACGAGGCTGCAGGCGCCATTGCCTCAGCCCAGAAAGGACAGAGGATGTCTGCCCAGCAAAAACCTCTGGCCTTTTCTTACTCCTGATCCAGGGCCCAGCACTCAGTGAGGAACCCGTGATCCACCCATCTCTGAAGGCCCAGGGAAGTGTCAGCAACTTAAGCATCTCTAAGGCAGGAGAAGGTGGCCATGGGTCTTGACCAACCGAGACTGCTCAGGGTCGGGAGAGGAGACTGCAGGACTCTGGTGGGAGCAGTCGGGCCGTGGGCCGCATTCTCTGCATGCTCCAGGGCTGGGGCTGAGCTGCTCAGGGAAACAATGCCGCGCTGTGCTGACTGTGGGAAAGCCAGGCCAGATGAGCAAAGCTCATTCCAGAAACATGGCTGGGGGTTTCCAGCCTCCTTACCACATGGCCTTTCCAAGATTCCAAGTTGATGATGCAAACTGAAAGCAGTGACTGCCAGGGCCCAGAAGGCAGTGCCTGCTGTGTGCAGGACCACAGAGGCTGCCCGGGGGTGGCACAGCACAGAGAAGTGGCAGTGCCATGTTTAGATGTCTGGTAGCAGATTAGGTGATAAATATAAATTTCTTCAAAATGGAAGGAAGTGAGTGGGGAGGAAGAGGAGGGAAAATGGGAGGACAGGAGGAAGGTGGACAGGCAGGCAAGTTCTCTGCCATGGGACCATGGAAGTGACAGTTAACCCAGAAGGAACAAAGACATCTGAGTCAGATATTCCTTTGTAAATCTGTAGAGGATTTGCAATATAGGCTTTACTTCTAAAAATTGCTGTTGGGTCCATGAGGCTGTTGCCAGGAAGAGCAGACACACCATTCTTCGTGGCAACCGCAGTGAGGGAGCAGTCAGGAGGAAGAGTCCTGTGGCTTCCCAGTCCCTGTGGGGACTAATGCCAAGCTCTGTAGAATGAACCTTAGAGCACATGCTCTATGGTCTAATGAGAAACTTGGGTTTGTGCTTTCACACATTTCAATGTTCCCTACGGGTTATTTGACAAAGGTATGAAAATAATGGCCAACAAGAAGCTAGTATCAGTTTGGGGCCTACATGCGGCAGGTGTTCCTGATAAGCAGATAAGCTCTTCCTGCAGTAGCCCAGGTCTCGCCAGTCAAATGACAAATGGCTAATCAAGACATTCCGGCAAGCCCTTGATGGTGAGAGCGGCAGAGCTGCTTCTTCAGCTGCCATCAAGGCAGGACCTCAGGACCTGACTGTCCACAGTCAGAAAAGAGTGAACAATATGGGATATGGGTATAGGTAGGTGGTAGGCAAGGATGGTGCCCCATGGTTGATGGGTCGGGTGTCTCAGGCAGGCCCCTGTGCATGGAAACAGCCTAAGTGCAGAGGTGCCAGGCGTCTTTCCCATCATCCATGGAAGGAGAATGCGATGGCCACAGACACCCTCATGGCACAGACATGACCAGCCTCTGACGTTCTTGTGCATCGGAATAGCTCTGTCCTCAGAGCCCCAGTCAGCAGAGCTGGATGGCCAGGTCGCAAGAAGCAAACCACAAAATGTGACGTCAGAGCTGTCAGATCTCGTTCAATAAACACTTCAGTAAACCCAAGTGCAGAGTGTTGTTTTGGGTGTGTCTTAGAGATGTGTGTTGGGGACACCCTTTTGGAGGTGTCCTAGAGTGTGCGCTGGGAGTTCCAGTGACGATGCAATGGAATTCTGAGGCACCTAGGCTTCCTGGAGATTGCCATCAGTTAAGAGAGTGTCTGCTGGTGTGCAGCATTACAGGACAATTATGACCTTACCTAGGTCAGTAAAGTTCTCAAACACTTCTATGGCTACAAAACAAAAAACAAAAAGCTGGAGTGAGATCATTAAATAGGCCAGAACTTTCAACCATCAGTGGACCAAGCAAAAAAGTGGCACCTTTCTCATAAGTAGATGAGCACCACGTGTCTCCATTGATTCTCAGCCTGTGACCTCTATGACCACATCCTTGTCCAGTAGGATCCCTGCAAAGCAGATGTTGTAATGATCTGCATCCTTGCGAAGAAGCAAGGACTAGAAGGGCTGGCCCTGCTGTGATTCCCCTCCCTGTCTCAGCAGAGGGGAGCATTTTGTAGATGAAGAACAGAGTGACCAGTAGAAGAAACAGCACCAGGCTGAGCACCATTCGACCTCCACTGATACACGTCTGACCTTTCTCAAGCCCCTTCGCGTCTCTGGCTCAGGTTCCCCTAGTAAGTGGGAATCACAGCAGTAACTCAACAAGACAGGGGCCAGTGCTTTTCAGAACTACAAACAAGTCACTGTGACTGCACCACATCCCTATCCCCTATGGGAGACTCGCTGTGAGGGGGCACTGAGGAAGCACCACCCTGACTTGCATCTGTGGCAAGGGCAGATCAGGTCCAAGAGCTCCTGTCTCCACTCCAGTTTCCAGGGCTAGAGCCTGGGGACGGTACAGCCCCCAACGCCTACCTCAGAGGAAAGCCATAGTGGACCCCACATTTGTTAACAGCTGCACCCTGGGGGTCACACATGGGTCCTCTGTCTCCCTCTCCCATCAGCCCTAAGGTGGTTTTTTGTTTTTAGTTTTCTGAAATATCTTTATTGAGATATAATTCATATAACAAAATTCACCAATTTAAAGTGTACAGCTAGGCCAGGCGCAGTGGCTCATGCCTGTAATCCAAGCACTTCAAGAGTCCAAGGCAGTGGATCACTTGAACCCAGGAATTTGAGACCAGCCTGGGAAACATAGCAAAACCCCGTTCCTACCAAAAGTACAAACAATTAGCCAGGCATGGTGGCACACACCTGTAGTTCCAGCTACTCAAGAGGCGAAGATGGAAGAATGGTTTGAGCCCAGGAGGTCAAGGCTGCAGTGAGTTGAGATCATTCCGCTGAGATCATTCCACTGCACTCCAGCCTGGGCAACTGAGTGAGACCCTGTCTCAAAATAATCTTTAAAAAAATTTTTAAATTAAAAAAAGGTGTACAGCTAAACAGTTTCTAGTAGATTCTTTCTTTTTCTTTTTCTTCCTTTTTTTTTTTTTTTTTTTTTTGTAGATGGAGTCTCACTCTGTCAACAGGCTGGAGTGCAGTGGTGTGATCTCAGCTCATTGCATCCTCTGCCTCCAGGGTTCAGGCAATTCTCCTGCCTCAGCCTCCTGAGTAGCTGGGACTACAGGCATGCACCACCATGCCCAGACATTTTTTTTATTTTTAGTAGAGGTGGGGTTTCACTATCTTGGCCAAGATGGCCTTGATCTCTTGACTTCATGATCCACCCACCTCAGCCTCCCAAAGTGCTGGGATTACAGGCGTGACCCACCACACCAGGCCTCTAGTAGATTCTTAAACTATGTTCATCACAATATAAATTCACATTTTCATCATCCCCCAAAGCAAACACAACCTAGCACCCATTCATACTCACTCCCTACCTCCCATCACCTGCTCTAAGCAACCATTAATCTACTTTCTGTCGTATAAATTGAACCGTATAATAGTGTTTTTTTTGTGTGACTTTGTTCACTTAGCGTGACATTTCTGAGGTTCATCCATGTTGTAGCATGTGTCTTTATTTTATTTCGTTTCATGGCTGAATAACACTCCATTGTATGGATATACTGCCTTCTGTTTTTCCATTTATCTGTTAATGGACACTGGGGTTGTTCCCACTTTGTCCCTATAAAGAATAACACCGCTATGAACATTCATGTACCTGTTTTTGCGTGAACATCTGATTTCATTTCTCTTGGGCATAAATCTGGGAGTGGAATTGCTGGGTCATATAGTAACTCTGTGTTTAACTTCTTGAGGAAGTGCCAAACTGTTTTCTAGAGGGAGTGCACCATTTTACTTTCCCGCCAGCAGTGTATGAGGGTTCTGATTTCTCCACCTCCTTGCCAACACTTGTCATCATCTTTTTATTATAGTCATACATGCACTGTGGCTTTGTATTTCCTTAATGACGAATAGTGTTGAGTATCTTTCATGCAATTATTGGCCTTTGAATACTTCTTTAAGAAAGTGTCTATTCAAATGCTTTGCCTTTTTTTTTAATTGGGTTATTTGTCTTTTTTTTATTTTGAGTTCTAAGAGTTTTTAATGTACTCTGAATACTATACCCTTTTCAGATACATGATTGGCAAATGTTTTCATCCACTCTGTAGGTTGTCTTTCTTTTTTTCTTTTCTTTTTTTGAGACAACGTCTCACTCTGTCACTCAGACTGGAGTGCAGTGGCACGATCTCGGCTCACTGCAACCTCCACCCCCCAGGCTCAAGTGGTTCTCCAGTCCCAGCCTCTCGATTAGCTGGGATTACAGGCACATGCCACTACTGCCTGGTTATTTTTGTGTTTTTATAGAGACGGAATTTCGCTATGTTGGCCAGGCTGGTCTTGAACTCCTGACTTCAAATGATCCACCCTCTTCGGCCTCCCAAAGTACTGGGATTACAGGTGTGAGCCACTGTGCCAGCCCTTTTTACTTTCTTGATAGTGTCCTTTGAGGAAGAAACAATTGAATTTCAGTGAAATTAAATTTATCTTTTTTTCTTTGTTGTTTATTCTTTTGTGGTCAAATCTGAGAAACCATTGCCTAACCAAAGGTTATGAAGATATATTTCTATATTTTCTTCTAAGACTTTTATAGTTTTAGTTCTTACATTTAGATCTATAATTAATTTTGAGGTAATTGTTGTACATGGTATGAGGTAGAATCTAACTTAATTATTTTACATGTGAATATACAAGTGTTACAGCAACATTTGTTGACTTGAACTGTCTTGGCCTCTTTGTTAAACATTAATAGACTGTAAATGAAAGGGTTTATTTCTGAACTTGCAACTCTAGCCCATTGATCTATATGTCTATCCTGATGCCATTGCCACACCGTTTATTACTGTAGCTTTGTGGTAAGTTTTGAAACCAGAAAGTCTGAGCCCCCTCCAAGTTTGTTCTTATTTTTCAAAATAGTTTTGGCTATTCAGGGTCCCTGGCACTTCTATATGAATTTTAGGATCAGTTTGCCAACTTTCGCAAAGAAGAAAGCTGGGATTTTAGTAGGGATTTCTTTGACTCTGTAGATAAATTTGGGGAGTATTCCATTCCATCTGAACAATATTAAATATTCTGATCCAGGAATGTGGGGTGTCTTTTCATGTATTTAGATCTTTAATTTTTTCAACAGTGTTTTGTAGTTTCCAATTGCAAGTCTCACACTTCTTTTCTTGAAATTATTCCTAAGTGTTTTCTTCTTTTCCATGCTTTTGTGATTGGAATTGTTTTCTTAATTTCCTTTTCAGATGCTAGAATGTAGAAATATGATTGGTTTTGTGTATGGATTTTGCATTTTGCAAACTTGCTGAACAAATTTAGTAGTTACAGTCTTTTTGTTTTGTATTTTGTTTTTGAGACAGGGTCTTTCTCTGTTGCCCAGGCTGAGTGCAGTGGCACAATCACGGCTCACTACAGCCCAGACCTCCCAGGCTCAAACAATCCTCCTACCTCAGCCTCAGAAGTAGCTGGGACTACAGGCGCACACCACCACGCCTAATTTTGTACTTTTGATAGAAACAGGTTCTCACTATGTTACCTAGGTTGGTCTCAAACTCCTGAACTCAGGCAATCCTCCTGCCTCAGCCTGCCAAAGTGCCAGGATTATAGGAGTGAGCCACCATGCAGGATTATACAATCTTTTTTTAATGGATACATTGCTATTATCTACATACAATATCATGTCATCTGCAAATACAGAAAGTTTTACTTCTTCCAATTTGGAAGCCTTTTATTTCTTTTTCTTGCTTAATTTCTCTAGCTAGAACATCTAATACAATGTTGAATAGAAGCAACAAGAGCCAACATCCTTGTCTTTCTCCTGATGGTTGGGGAAAGCATTTCGTCTTTCACCACTGAGTATCATGTTAGTGGTGGATTTTTCACAGATGCCCTGTATCAGATTGAGGACATTTCCTTCTACTTCCAGTTTGTTGGTGTTTTTATCATGAAATGGTACTGGATTTGTCAAATGGTCTTTCTGCACCTATTGAATTGATTATGTGGTTTTTTTTTCCTTTATTGATAAGGTTCATTACATTAATTAACTTTCAGATATTTAATCAACCTTGTATTCATGTAATGCATCCCACTTGCTCATGGTATGTAATTCTTTTACATGGTGCTGGGTTATATTTTATATATTGATATATTTTGTTGAGGATTTTTGTGTTTCTCTATATAAGGAATACTGGTCTGTTTCTGTTCTTGTGATGTCTTTGTCTTATTCTGGAATCAGGGTAATACTGCTCTCATAAAATCAAGAAGTGTCCCCTTCTATTTTTTGAGAGTTCATGAGAGACTGATATCCATTTTTTGTTGTACTTTGGTAGAATTCACCAGTGAGGCCATTTGGGCCTTGGCCTAATTCAAACTCTTTACTTGATATGGAGCTTCAGATTTTTTGAAAATTTCACCTTTGAATCAGTTTCTACAGTTTGTGTCTTCCTAGAGTTTTGTCCGTTTTATCTAAGTTATCTAATTTGTTGGCATAGTATTGCTTTATAATCGCTCTTATTTCCATAAAATCAATAATTATGCCCCCTC